TCTCTATGATGAATTTTGCGGATTACCTTACCTTTATGAGGAGCAGGTCAGAGAAGAATATTTTAAGATGCGATGTTATTCTCTCAAAAAGAAAGATCTTGACAAACATTATAAAGAAATGGTAAAACGATATCATATACTTAGAAGAATGGATGATCATAACATCAAGCAAGCCTTTTTAACTTCTATTCCATAATCCCTAAGTCATGAAGCAACCAAGCTTATGCAATCTCAAAGCAAACAATTTGGTTCCACTTCTCTTGGAGAAATTTATCAGTTTGTCATCCTTGCTTTGGAAAAGCTTTGTTCTTGGAAACAATTTTTTGATGATTATCTGAAGTGCTCTAAACAGCTAACAAAGGTTTGTCATAGACCAGATTTGCAGATCAAGTGCAAATCAGATCCCTCATGTTCTTTTCCTACCAAGAAGAAGTTTCATTCCAGACGCATTAAGTATTCCCAACCTAATGCTCCTGCCAAACGCAAATCTCAACACTTCAAGTTTCACAGGTTTCTTCGGAAAAAGAAACATCAAGGCAAACGATTTAATCGATGTTACTTGTGTAATCGTCCTGACCATTTTGCCAAGAATTGTCCAAACAAGTTAAAATAATCAGCCAAAATGATACAACTTTCTTAGCTTATTGATAGACTTTTCAGATGATGATGTTGAAAGCTAGTTTTCCATGGATGAAGAACCCACTTCAGACATTGTTTTCAGTTTGCAGCCACTGATAATGAGTTCTTTGATTAAGATGATTGTTACTATTTCTATCATATTCAACAAGTAGCCCAATCCTTTCCATCATTAGCTTTCTCATGTCACATACCTACAGCAAAGTCCAAATCTTCCCCAGTAAATATTCCAATCCCATTTCTGTTATAGCATTTTTCGATATTGGTGCTACTTGCATTATTATCAATCCTAAGATCCCCCTATTCTCCTAGTGGAAACCGCATCAAGAATTTTTCTACACTGCTAATAGTGAAACTTTTATTGCTTATTTGATTAATAAACCCATTAAAATCCAATTTTTTCTAGAATGTTTTACTTTTCACAAAGTTCTTGGTTCCGATTTACCTGGCAAAGATATGGTTATTGGTTTTGATGTTTATTCCAAACTCAATAAACTTAGAATCCTCCATGATGGTATTTGTTACAAGATGTTTTTCCAATCTTGGATCACTCAACCTAATTTGTTTCAAATTGAAAGCAATCCCATTGAGCAAATCAAAGCCTAGCTTATTTCCCGCTCTTGTGCAGATTCTCATACAGATTTCTCACTAACTGTTCCCATCCATTATGGGAGAATTCTGATTTCTTTATCTATTTTCCATTCATCAAAAGTGAAGATATCAATCCCACTAAAGCTAGTCATTCTAGTATGTCACCAGAACATCTCTGCCTAGCCCAATAAGAATGTACTCAGCTTTTATCTCAAGGATTGATTGAATCCACAGATTCTCAATGGGCATGTGAAGCATTTTATGTCAATAAACGTGCTGAACAAGCCAGAGAAAAGTTCAGACTTGTTATCAATTATGAGCCTTTGAATTTCTTTCTTTGTAATGACAAATTTCCTCAACCTTTCAGACAAATCCCCTTTGCCAATCTACATAATGCAAAGATTTTTTCAAATTTGATATGAAAGCTAGATTTTGGCAACTCCGGATTCATCCTGATGATCGTCATAAGACTGTTTTCTACATTCCTAACCAACATTACCAATGGACAGCCATGCTTTTTGGTCTTAAGGTAGCCCCTTCTCTGTTTTAGAAAGCCATGACGAAAATATTTGCTCTTCTTCTTCATACATGTCTTATCTATATTGATGATATCCTCCTTTTCTCAAAAGACGAAGAATATCATGTTCATCTTCTTCGCAAATTTGCTGATATCATACACTCTTATGATATTATGCTCTTTGAGAAGAAAATATGGCTGGGTCAGACAAAAATTGATTTTCTTGGTATGGTCATTACTGATGGCAAGTATGACCTCCACCTCATATTGCTAATGAGTTACAGAAGTTCCTAGATGTTCTCATGACTCAGAAAGAAATAGAACAATTCTTGGAAATTGCCAATTACATGTGCAGTTTCATTCCCAACATTTCTCAACTCACCTCTCCATTTTCCCAAATGCTTAAGAAGAATCCTCCTTGATGGTCTGACAAGCAAACCAATGTAGTTAAGAGTCTTAAGTGCAAATCCTTCCTTGCACAACCATCGCAGATTCCCTCTTTTGAGAAACAAATCCTTCAGACAAATGCTAGTGACACCCATTGGGATGCAGTGTTTTTTGAACAAGATGATGATAAAGTATGACATTTGTGTGGATATCAGAGCGGACAGTTCAAACCGCATCAACAACATTATCATTCTACTTTCAAAGAAATATTGGAAGTAAAAAAAATTATTGAGAGGTTTGAATTTCATCTGGTTGGACATCATTTCTTTGTTGAAACAGAGATGAAATCTTTTGATCAAATGCTCTGATTCAACAGGAAAAATGTTTCACATCAGCAATTACTCCGATGGGTAGAATGGTTTAACAAGTGTTCTTTCACCGTCCAGCACATCAAAGGTCATACCAATACCATTGCAAACTATTTATCCAGGCCTAAAGCTAAACAAGTTTGTTTCATGAACCTTAGGTCAAAACCACTTCCTTGTTTCATGTATCAACTACTAACCCAATCTAGTTCTTGTTCATCATCTTCTTCACCAAATCTTATACCAGACACACCTCCTGAATTCGATGACCTTATTCGAACTCGTACCATAGATGAAATTGCCACCACCCTCATATTTTCTTATCAAATTCAATGCATTGAAAAGTGTGGACAATCCATGTATGATATGTTAGGTGTTCATCTAGATTACCCCTTTTAAAAAATCTTGTGTTTACCTCCTGGTCAATATATCATATTTCCAGAAGAATTATTATGGTTCTTTTGGTATATGTTACAGCAGCACCACATTGCAGTTCAACTCCCGGTCTATTATATATTGAAAAAAATTTCCCAGTACCAGTCATCCTCAACCTCTGAATTACATCATTTGATGATTTTTCTTAAATGGTTCAAAACCTTGGAAAAATGGAAGTCTGTGTTTGTTCATCAACTTGCTCGATACAAGGGTCCTATGTCCTCCAAAATGACATGGTCCATCATGTTTTTTCATTGACACCACTCTATCAGATCTGATGGCTTATATTTTTCATAGCATCAAGTCACTTTTCATCGGTCCTATTCATATGATCTAGTCCATAATATGTTTGATCATCCTTTTGAGATTAGGTCAATTCAGAAAATCATTTTTGAGAAAAATCAAACGATTCCAGATGAGATATGGCCATCTTTTCACGATGATGCCTTATGGGAACTCTTTCCCCCAGCCTACACTGAGAAATTACTTCAGGCCAAACAAACATGCATAAGTTCCATCACTACTCAATTAAATGTCACTTCAGACTATCCAGAATGGTGATACCCAGATTCTCAGCCAGATACTGTGCAAGAATAAGAGTTTTAGCAGTCTCGTGATTACTATCTTCATAAATCGATACGACAGTAGTACATGCATGCACCAAGTATCTCTGCATGACAACCATCTCAGTCTTCATATATTTCTTTGGATACTCATGCAGATTCATTTTCTCGACAAATTCCTACTGATTGGATTCAAGTAATGGGCTATCTCGATTTCCAAGATGAAGACTGGTGACACGTTACAAACTTGTCAGATGATTAAAGCTCTACGTGTCTTAAAATAAATGTTTATGTTCTTTATGTTTATCTGTAAAATAGACATGAGCTATATGACAGTTTGCCAACTTAAGTGCAATATCTCTCGTGTAAGAGATATGAGTCAAATATTGTAGACAAGGTTAATAAATGTTAAAAAAAAAAAAAAAATCCAAAAAGTCAAAAATGTCAAGTCATGTATTAAATGTCTCTTAAATATTAAATGCTATCTCTTGATTTTCTCTATAAATAAAGAGAGTTATCTTCGCGCGGGGAGGAGGCATTGTGTAATCTCTCTTGTATATTTACATTGTTCTCTGGTGTAAAATCTCTTACATTTCTCTCTTTCACACTTCTTTCATGTTTGTTTTATACTTTTAACCATTCCTTCAACCTCAAGGGTGTAGTAATATTCTAATAATGGTAAAAATAGTAAAAAGATCGCATATATTATCTTTATTTGTATTTCTAACGCGCTTTTATTTCCACTAACCATTTTAGATGATGTTAGAAGGTGTGTAGGTGTAAGTGTGTGTGGGATAAGAGGAGAGCCTTGACCATAAATTTGATCAATCGTTGTGTTGATCGATTTCTATATAGGTCAGCTATCATAGTTTCCCACATGCATAAAATCCAATTCTATTTTATTTAACTATTTTTAAACCTCCTAAGTTTGTTATTTTATTAATTTAGCTAAACACCATACAAAAAAAAGTTTAGAAATGAACAAAAATATCCCCACCCATCCACATTTACCAGATTCCAGCCACCACCACCGGAAGATGGTCGGAATCTGGCGTAATGGCGCACTACCGACTGGATCTGGCCTGTAGTGTGCCAATCTAACATTTTTCCTGCCAAAACCATGGCCATAGATTTGGCCGTTGATGACCATATCTTTGGCCGTAGCTGGTCGTCAACGACGACTATAAACATGGCCAGATCTGGCATTTTCCAACCATATCTACGGTGGATCTGGCCAAAAAATGTCATATCGATGCACGATCGGCTAGATCCAATCAATCATATGCTATTACGGTGACTGCCAACTATCTTTCGGTGGTGATGGCCGACTGTTGGCATTTAATAGGTGGGTGAGAGTGTTTTGTTAATTTTCAATGTTATCTTCTAAATACCCCAACTGTGTCTGTGTGACTGTGTCTATTCCTCACCGTTATACTGGACTCCGCCCATTTCATTTCAGTGAAGCCCACCCACTCAAATTAACAAACAACCGTACATGATATACCAACTGCAAAACATTTCCAAACTATTAACAAAAGCCAGGCGTACTCAGCGTTCGTATATTGTCCATAAAAAGCAGACCACCTTCTAAAAACTCTCTTTAAAGCCTCTCCATTTTCCCTCTAACCTAAAATTTCAATCTATCGCTCTTGAACTTAGTCACAGTCAGAGTGAGTCTCAGGTAGCTTTTTTTGGCTCTTGGCTCCCTCGCCAGCTCAGCATTTCTGATTTGAATATTTTTTAAACTTATTTTCTCCAAACCCCTCAAATCAGACATTCGTAAACCCTAGAATCATTCATCATCAGAATGGAGTGGAATCCAGAAACTCTCCAGAACCTTTCTCAGTGCTTTCTCCACACGCTATCTCCGTCCCCCGAGCCGCGCCGCGCAGCCGAAAAATCTTTAGCCGAAGCCGCGGAGAGGCCCAACTACGGTCTCGCAGTTCTCCGCTTGGTAGCCGAGCCAACAGTGGATGACCAGATTCGCCAAGCCGCCGCTGTCAACTTCAAGAACCACCTACGCTCTCGCTGGGCCCCTTCCCCTGACACTGGTTCCACTGCAATACTGGATCCCGAGAAGGAGCAAATCAAAGCCCTAATCGTGACTCTTATGCTCACTTCGACGCCGCGAATCCAGAGTCAGCTCAGCGAAGCCCTAGCCGTCATTGGCAAGCACGATTTCCCCAAATCTTGGCCTACTTTACTTCCCGAACTCGTCGCCAATCTCAAAAAAGCGTCTGAATCCAATGATTACGTTTCCGTCAACGGTATTCTCGGAACTGCCAACTCTATTTTTAAGAAATTTCGATACCAGTACAAAACAAATGAGCTTTTGCTAGATTTGAAATACTGTCTCGATAATTTTGCCGCTCCGTTATTAGAAATTTTTCTCAAAACTGCTGCATTAATTGATTCAACTGCGAGTTCCGGTGCGTCGGCTGCAACTCTTAAGTTGCTGTTGGAGTCTCAAAGATTGTGTTGTAGGATATTTTATTCGCTGAATTACCAAGAATTGCCTGAATTTTTTGAGGATCATATGAGTGAGTGGATGAGTGAGTTCAAGAAATATCTAACAACAAATTATCCCACACTTGAGAGTAGTAATGATGGACTCGGGCAGGTTGATGAGCTTAGGGCTGCAGTATGTGAGAATATCAGTCTTTATATGAAAATTAATGAGGAAGAGTTTCAGGGGTACTTAAATGATTTTGCTCTTGCTGTCTGGACTTTACTAGGGAATGTGTCGCAGTCTTCTAGTCGTGATACGTTAGCTGTTACTGCAATTAAGTTTTTGACTGCTGTGAGTACAAGTGTGCACCACACGTTGTTTTCGGGTGAAGGAGTGATACCTCAGATTTGTCAGAGTATTGTGATTCCAAATGTGAGGTTGAGAGACGAGGATGAAGAGCTTTTTGAGATGAATTATGTTGAGTTTATTAGGAGGGATATGGAGGGTAGTGATGTTGATACTAGGAGGAGGATTGCATGTGAACTACTTAAAGGTATTGCAACACATTATAAGCAAAAGGTAATGGAAATAGTTTCAGTTCAAGTACAGAATCTATTAAGCTCATTTGTAGCTAACCCTGTTGTAAATTGGAAAGACAAGGATTGTGCCATATATTTAGTTGTTGCACTTGCCACGAAGAAGGCTGGGGGCACTTCTGTTACAACTGATCTTGTTGATGTTCAGGGCTTCTTTACATCAGTTATTGTTCCAGAGTTGCAAAGTCAGGATGTGAATGCATTTCCGATGCTTAAAGCAGGTGCTCTTAAGTTCTTTACAATGTTTCGAAGTCAGATACCAAAGCTCCATGCATTTCAATTGTTTCCAGACTTGGTTCGGTTCCTTGGTGCAGAGTCAAATGTGGTTCATTCTTATGCTGCTAGTTGTATAGAAAAACTCTTGCTGGTCAAGGATGAGGATGGAAGAGCAAGGTACAATTCGGCGGATATAACCCCATATCTGCCATTGCTGATGACCAACCTTTTTAATGCCCTGAAGTTTCCAGAATCTGAGGAGAATCAATACATAATGAAGTGTATAATGCGGACTCTTGGGGTTGCAGATATTTCCAGCGAGGTTGCTGGACCTTGCATTACTGGTTTGACAACTATTCTGAATGAAATTTGCAAAAATCCAAAAAATCCAATTTTTAATCACTACCTCTTTGAGTCAGTAGCTGTTCTTGTCAGACGAGCATGCCAGAGGGATCCCTCTCTCATATCAGCTTTTGAAGCAAGCATTCTGCCCAGCCTCCAGATGATCTTGCAAAATGATGTGATTGAGTTCTTGCCGTATGCATTCCAGCTGTTGGCTCAGCTTGTTGAGTTGAATAGGCCACCTGTTGCCCCGAACTATATGGAGATTTTTAAGCTTCTCCTTCTGCCTGAATCATGGAAGAGATCTTCGAATGTTCCAGCTCTTGTGCGTTTGCTTCAGGCCTTCCTTCAGAAGGTACCTCATGAAATCACCCAAGAAGGCAGGCTGAGCCAGGTGCTTGGGATATTCAACATGCTTGTTGCATCCCCTAGCACTGATGAGCAAGGCTTCTATGTGCTCAACACTGTTATTGAGTGTCTTGAATATAATGCCATTTCTTCATACATTGTTCACATCTGGAATGCCCTTTTTACACGCCTCCAGAAGAATCGGACAATCAAGTTTATCAAGTCCTTTCTGATTTTTATGTCACTGTTTCTGATCAAGCATGGTTCTGTAAACCTTGTCAATACAATGAATGCTGTTCAGTCTGGCGTATTTTTAGTAATTGTAGAGCAGTTTTGGATACCAAATCTTAAGTTGATCACAGGTTCTATTGAAGTTAAGCTGACTGCTGTTGCTTCAACCAGGCTTATCTGTGAATCTCCAGTGTTTTTGGATGGTGGTGCTCTAAGTCTCTGGGGGAAGATGCTGGACAGCATTGTTACCCTTCTTTCACGGCCAGAGGAGGAAAGAGTTGAAGAGGAACCTGAAATGCCAGATATTGCTGAAAATGTGGGTTATACCGCTGCATTTGTTAGCCTTTACAATGCTGGGAAGAAAGAAGAGGATCCTTTAAAGGATATAAGGGATCCAAAGGAATTCCTGGTAGCATCATTGGCAAGGATTTCTGCCACATCCCCTGGGAGGTACCCCCAGATCATCAGTGCAAATCTTGAGGCAGCAAATCAGACAACATTGCTTCAGCTTTGCAACAATTACAATTCACCTATAGTTTGAGTATGTTTTTTTCCTCTTTGTCATTGTTTCTCTTCTTTGTTGTCAGTATTGTTACACTCAGATTGAAAACTGTCTAATTATTACCATGCGTTTATAATATATTTAAATAAAACTTTGAGTGCTGTATTACACTTTGTGGAATATGAAACTGTTTTATAATTGCAATCTGGCACAATTTGAGACAGTTTTTTCAAATTCCATCAGTTTTTAGACTTATGACAAAATAGTTGACTGCAAATAATTTTTTTATTGAATGTTTACCTCTAATTGTTTTGATATAATGACCCATATTTTAGTTCACTGGATTATCCTACTTTCTCCTAGAAAAGATTATAGGGTTGCAGAAATTTTTTGGAAAACCTCTTAACGGTTTTATACATTGTCCACCTGGAATGGATCAAACCCTTTTCTTCATTGTTGAATAGATTTATCTCATTCTTTCTTTAGCTGAATCCTTGTATAATATATTTGAGTAATGTTTTATAGACAACCTGTTGCACCTCCTTTGTGTATTTGTGGACAGTTTACAAACTGTATTGAAAACTTACCATGTCCATAAATTGGCATTTAGGTTCTAATGTTTAGTTCTAATTTTGATGATGCTTGCCCAAATAGAACAGTATGTTATTGTGTAGCTGGGTTTCATTTTCTGTGAATTGAGTTTGTTTCACAGCTATTTTAATTATCTATATCTCAATTTGAAAACGGAACTCTAATTGTTAGGTTCACCTTTGACCGCACTTGCCTGATTATTGGCTTACTTTTATATTTCTTTTCCTGTTTCTCTTTCTGATTTCAGTTCTTAGTAAGACTAAGACCTCTGTGTCTGCTTTTTCTTTTGATCAATCAATACTTTGTTCCTAATGCTGAAAAGTAGAGTTAGGTTTTTCCACTTTATTATATCAGTTTAAAAGTTACTTGCGATACTTTTCTGTGGCTACATTATTAATTGTGACTTTGTATTGTCTGGTTTATTTCTACAAGCAGTACAACTTATATCAGTGGTTTCCACTCCCCTAGAGAATTAAGTTTCCAGTGGGCTGAGACACCTATGATGTATAGTAACGTGTCTATTTGCTTCTTAGTTATCCCATATGTTTTGCGAAATTCATGCATAGTTTGAGGCAAGTCAATGTATATGTAATATTTTGCTCTCTAGCCCATCAAATATTAGTGTTATAGCTGAGTAGACAAGGTCCTTTGATTCTCAATTGTTTATCTAAATTTCTTTTTTCTTTTTTTTACTGTAGGTGTTAGTTTGCAATACAAAATATATCGTTTAGTCATGTGTTTCTACCTCTTTGCAGGATATGATTCTGCATGAAATCTCCTTTTGGGCGTTAGTCTCGTCTAAGTTTTGATCAGCTTGCCTATGTAACCTGACGGTACTTTATACTATGTGACTGAACATTGTCAAGAATTAATCTTCCATTTTTGCAATTTCTGGGGATCCGAATGATGGGAGTTTTGTTATTACATTTGCTCTCCAAGTTATCCGTGCATGGTTAGCAAATGGTCATTCCAGTGTGGTTAATTAAGTTCTGGGGTAGATAAGCCCCATTCTATGCACTATTGTCACAGTTTGTGAGTCTTGTTCGGCGTGCATGTTTCATGAAATGTAGATCTATGATGCAGTGAAAAGAGTTGTAGGTTAAACTGGCCCTTTTTATTTTTGTTCTTACAATCATGCAATGCATTATTTTGTCATTGTGCAAAACAGTTCAGTTAATTTGGACTGAACTTGTGGTTTTATTCTAAGAAACAAGTTTCATGTTTCTTTTATTTGGTAGATTTAAGTAATATTTTAAAACCCAACTCGGGGTGAAACCCAGCAAAGTTGTCGGGTCTCAGGTTAATCGGTTTGATCAGCCGGTCAAATCAAGTGACAAAACTTTTAAAAATTCAGCAGATACACCCTTGAAAATTGTGTTAAGGCCTTGTAGGTTTGAAATTTATCAAACACACGTCAAATACAAATCAGTCGGCGATTGGTTGGTGGCGACGACACTTCAAATGCAACCCCAATCATCCCTTGAGCTCAATCCCTCGAAAATCTAATCGAGGCCTAGTCGAAGTTGGTTTGATTTAGGTCAGATCTCACTGACGTCGACATCTGCATTCTAGGCTAGATCTCATTGAAGTTAGCATCGACGACCTTCCCCATCACCCCAAAAATACTACCCTCTTCCTCCGGATCAAAACCTATCTCACTTTACTCTCGTTAACCTCACCAATCACTGGCAAAAGTCGGTTGTTGTTGTTGTAAGTTTTTTTCGATTTTCGATTGATTCATTCATCGGAAATCAACTTCATCAACACCATTGCACTCATCGGTACTTTCTCCTCAAAAGCCTCAACATCTTGACCTTCAGTTATTCATCGATCATCATCCTAAATTCTAAGGTTTTGGGTGAATAGGAAAAATGTTAATCCGACTTGGTGAAGCTCCCAAGTCTTAGTTAAACCAGTCGGACGGGGCTGGGTTGGGTTTTAAAACAGTTGATTTAAGAATAAGAATTTTGCTTGAAGCTTTTGCAAGAATTCATAATTAGAATGGTGCGACATCACAAGGATCATTCTATTTAAGTGAGGTAACTGTATTTTATCAAGAAGCATCGAAGTCACTCAATAGTTAAAATCTTGAATGTATTTACCATTATATTAGCACTTGCATGATATCTTTTAGGTTGGAGTTGACAGGCTCTCGCATGTAATCTGTTTGGATGAATACACTATTGTGACTAAACCATGGTTTTAAAAACTGGACCGGTTGATCCAACTGGTTGGACCGAGACCCGGTCATATGTTCGGTCCGAGTCAATATAAAACCTGGTTATATTCAATAACTTGCTATGAACCGCCATTGAAGCAGGAAAATAGTGCGAACCGCCAGTCCAATCGGACCACTTGATAAACTGGTCCAATATTTCAAAAGGGGAAAAAATCCCTAACACGGTAACACGATTCTCTTTCTAGTTTCTCTACTTTCTCTACGCAAAGATCCTCTGAAAATATGAAATCTAAGCTACCCACTCAAATCGCCACTCAATCTCAATGAACTCCACTCTCTGAAGTCTAAAATCGCAACCATTGTGTCAATCGCAACTCTACTCTTTGAAATCGATGACAACGCCTTCCTCCCTCGCCGAAAATCGACGACGACATCTCCATTCCTTGTTGGAAATCGACTACGACGACGTCAGCTCCATTTCTCGCTGGAAATCAACGACGATGACGACGACAACTCCATTCCTCGATGACGACGATGACGACGACAACTCTATTCCTCGCTGGAAATCGGCAACAAGACAACTCCATTTCAGAAAGTGTAAGTTTTTCATGAGTCACGACCCCTTACATTTTTGCAGATCTAGTTTCCTGTTGTCAATGGGGAAACTATAGATTGAGAAACATATATAGAGTTGTTCTTTAAGAGTGGTAGGAGTGGCTCAATAGTCAGTAGCGAATAACCCAAATTAATTTACAAATTTGTTATGAAATTGATTGTTGAAATCTAGGGCTGCGTTTGTTTCAGTTTTGGGAATACTACTTTTAGTATTCCCAAAAAAGTTAAACAGTAAAATACCCAAAAACTCATATTTTTGGGAATACTACTCCCAATATTATTCAACTTTTTTTAAACCTCTTAAATTTGATAATTTAATTAAATACCCCTAAATATTTTTTTAAAATTACAGAAACACCCCAATAATCCACATTTACCAGATTCCGGCTACCACCACTGGAAAATGGTCGGAATCTGGTAGGATGGCGCACTACCGGCTGAATCTGGCCGGTAGTGCGCTGATCTAGCCTTTTCCGGCCAGATCTAAGTCCAAAGATCTGGCCGTTGACGGCCAGATCTTTGGCCGTAACAGTCGGTCACGACGGCCAACAAACGGTCGTCGTTGACCATCAACGACGACCGTTTGTTGGCCGTCGTTGAGAGCAAATACGGCCAGATCTGGCGGTTAACGGCCAGATCTGGCCGTAGATCTGGCCTTTGTCGGCTGGATCTTGCCGGTCATTCGCCGATATAGCCTTTTCCGGCCAGATCCACCGTATTATTTCGCTTGCTTGTGTCTGATCAAGTATTATTTCGCTTCTGTTTTACTCATTTAATCTTTGATTAATACTAGAATATTTTGCACTTAGGTCCCTTTTGAGGCAAGATGTAAAAGTTAATTTGCTTTTATCAAGATGATGTATCTAAGTTCTTGTTATATGATGATGACTTAGGAAATAATTTATAGCTTATCTAGATTGTTTCACCAATCATATCTTTCTTGAATTAATTATGTGGGTGAGAATAGGCATTTGACTCATAATTTGAGGAATACATTATCTTTGATGACATCTTTGGTTGACCGGTTGGATTGTGACCCGTGCAACAGAGCGGGTTACCTTCCGGTCTAAGTTTTAAAACAGTGGACTAAACACAAACTACTAACCCATTTGCCTGATTAAATGAATAACATTAACAATAGTTGCTTTCTCAATTAGAATATCCTTTTAATAAAAGGAATAATTTATTACGTTAGGACTACAGTTTGTGTTTTTTGGGAAATTTTTTGTTTAGATAAAAAATTTGAATTAAAAAAAAAAAAAAAAAAAAAAGGCGGTGCGGTTAACTTCGTTTACTTAAGTTAAGTAACAGGAAAAAAAAATTATCCTCGCCTCAATTTTAAACTCAGAAGCACTACAGCGTTCCTATGACATGCTAACATCATACTTATGTCTTGCTAGGAAAAACTGTAACTAGCTAATCTTTTTCCATTAAATCCAAGATCAGAACACATACCCCACATGCCATTACTAACACTTGGAATTATATGCTAGAACATAAGTGGACCCTGAATTAATCGGGCCCAAGTCAGATATAATTTCTTGAGCTCCAATACCCCCATCATTTGTGTGGACCTATCCTTTCCTTCCTCAGATGGTTAAGGTTGAAATATTTATCATTTTAATATGAAGTTGTTAACTTATAATAAAATTTTAATCCGCTAATCAATTTCATGCAAGACCACTCACTAAACCGCAACAACAACACGCATTTATAAGTGAAAAGACTAAATTTCCCGAGTAACATCCACACAATTACGTGGTGGTGCAAAGACAGCCTAACTGACTTCCACTATTATACTTTTGTTAACATATTTGTGTTGACTTAATTGTATAGGTTTGATATTTTTTTTTTTTTTTTTTTTTGTAGAGAAAAAATCTTAAATAATTGGTACACAGATAATGATGATCATAAAATTATGTCTGATCTGATCCCACCATCTCATTCTCACGGTTGATATCTGGTCCCCTCACCCACCAAATCTAATTACCTAATCTTTAACACTAAACCTTTTTTTTGCCCAATTAAAACTTACAATTGACATTACCCATTTTTGACCCATCCATATCACTTTGTTCTATTTCTGAAATTTCACTCTGTTTAAATACATAATAAAGAAAATCAATAGTAAATAATAATTTCCTTCCATTGGTGTTTTTAACTACTTTTCTTTCTACAACAATGAAAAGTGGGTTGAAAAAAGGTGACTAAATGGAATGGATCTCAAGATTCCAATGGATCTAACGGTTCACAAAGTGTCAAATTAGGTCAAAAGTGTGTCATGATTTGTACGAACAAATGGACCAGAATCCCACTCTAAGTTTTAAATATCCAAAACAATTAATTATTGTGGGGTCACGTTTTCGGGTTCTGTTTCAGCTGCTGTCCCAATTAAATTCATGTCTTTAAGGTTTATTTGGTTTCTTAAAAATCAAACGGAATTCATTTACTTTTCTGATTGTTCAGTAGGGTTAGGTTAGGACATAGGATTATACCAAATCCTACAAAATTTAGGATATAAACAGTAACTAAAAGTAAGAATCACCCATGATTGTTTTCACATGAACTCCACCATCAATGTTTAAGGTTCCCGAGGGAGAGATAAAATAAAAATAAAAATAAAGAAATAATAAAAGGGTAGGCACATGAATTCATTAGGACAGGCGAGCAAGAAACACAAACTGAATTGGTCTCCACATGGGGTATTGCTATTGCATTCAAACCTCACTTCTTCCACCACCAATCATCTCTCTCTTTTTTTGTTTTTTTTTTGTTTTTTTAATTTCACTAAAAAGTAGCCCACAATACATTCTCTATTTCCCGTACTCAGGTCAACCTCTCTCTCTCTCTCTCTCATTTTTAACACCACGCCACCCATTTCTCTTTGTGAAAAGATGCTCTTCTTTCTTTTTCTTTTTCTTTATAAATTTTTAATAAGCCCGAGTAATGGGAACATTTCGCAAGATTCTGTCTAGATACAAATTATTTGCTAATTAATCAACAGAATCAGATAACCACTTAATTAAATCTGGTCAGACTCACCCATTTTGCTTTGCGTTTGATATATATATATCTATATTACAATTTAAGGGATCAAATCTCTAATCTTAATGGAATCTACACATTATAAGATATGATCATTTTATTTATTTACTGATTGTTGAAAATGGGAGATCTTAACCCTTGAGAGGAGGCAACAGTCATGTTTAATGTTAAATTA